CATTCAATTAAGCATTTTTCATTTTTCGTAATTTTTTTATGGTTATATCTCTATAAATTTAAGTCGGATTTGAATTATGTTTGTTGGGGGATAACCCATATGATTAGTGATAAATGCGGGTTTATTGCGTTTATTCGGATCATTAAACTTAGATATTTGCGAGTTTTATTAGCGATTTATTACTTAATTTTCTTATTTTTATTTTGTAGGTGAAAACTCGATATTAAACGATGAATTGAAGGAATTTATGTGAGAAACGATCTAAAGATGAAGGCAAACGAAGATGACAACCAAAGACGCCGTCGAAAGAAGATTTAAAAAAAAGATCAGTGGGCTGGGCGCCTCCAGCGCCTAGGCGCCACTCGAGCCGTTTTTAATTGTTTTCAAAGTTCCAAGGACCAATGCTACAATTTCCTTCAGGTTTTAGGTTAAAGCATTCAACCAAACACATTTCATTCTTGAACTTGAAGGGCAACTGGTTCTTCTTCTTCTTCTTTTTCTTCTTCTTCTTCTTGTTTTCTTTCTTTTTCCTTTTTCCTTTCACCTTTATTTTGTAAGATATTTTGGGGAAGACTGGAACATGGAGATGATGCATTATCTTGTAGAAGATGACCCATTGATATTGAAGGATTTTCAACCTTTTCTCTCTTTATCAATAAGCTCTTCTTTTCACTCTTTTCATCAATGTTTTGTAAGAAATTGTTAGTTATTTGTGGATATTTCATGGGTAACTAATTATATTTTGTGATTGGGGATTATTTCAAACCCAAGTTATGATTTTCAATTAATTTGTACTTTATAAATCTCTTGATTAATGTGTTTAGTCCATTGTGTTAAATGTTTATTTTGTTCTTCTTAATTGTTTAGGTGTACAACTAAATGGTTAAGTTTTTTCGATAATGCTATTTTGGAATTAGTAGTACGTAATAGCTATTGATTCTAAAACCTATTAGCAATTACATTTCGATAGATTATGAAGAATTATCAATTAAATGTATGTGGATTAACACTTAAGTTTGTAAACCGAGCTTGCGAGTTTACCCTTAATTCAATTCATCTCTTTTGTCGTAATGCGTTTGTTAAATTAAATCTAGAGAGCTTGTTCTAGGTTGTTTAATGAATAGGGTTGAGTAAAGAGCTTGTTTTATTCGACTAACATGTCAAAAAAGATTGAGGTAATTGAGCTTGTAATTATTCTCGAATTGTCGTTAATCTTGAGAACGAAAATCTATTGTTGTAATTGACATGAAAATCATTCTCGTGGTGATGAAATGTCCCCCAATTACATTTTCTCGCATTCAATCAAGAACCACTTTGTTTATTTCAGATTTCAACAAACCAAACCCCCCCCCCATTTTATCTATTTTGTCTATTATTATTATTATTATTATTATTAATTTTACTTTTTAGTGTGCTATTGACATAATTGAATCAATCTTTGCAGGAAATAATCCTTACTTGTCATATTACCATTTAAAACGACACATTTAAGTCAAGTAAGGAAAATTAATTGGAACGTGATATGCAACGTATCAATTTTGGCGCCGTGTCGCCGGGGATTGTTCTATCAATTTGTTAATTAAAATATTTTTCTTTTTGTTATTTTTCTATTTATTTTTGTTATTTTCTTTGTCATTTAGGTTGTGAATGAGCAAAAAGCCTATAACACACTACAACCTAAGATTAAGAAAAGAGGCCGACACATCGGAAAGTGGAGAAGACATTTCTTCAACTAGACATCTAAGGCGATTGAGCATTGAATCCTGAAGTGACTCCGAACACATAGAGCCCAAAATGACGGATGCAAATCGGGCCTTAAATGAACTTGCAGCTCCAACTTTTTTTCAACAACCTCTATGCATTCAATATCCTCAAGTGGAGGTGGGATTTGAACTAAAGTCCGGGATGATTCATCTACTTCCCACATATCACGGATTTGCCGGAGAGGATCCAAATAAGCATTTGAAGGAGTTTTATGTCGTTTTCTCAAGCATGAAACCTACGGGTGTATCGGAAGAGCAAGTGAAATTACGGGCATTCCCCTTCTCTCTTGCAGACACTGCTAAGGAATGGCTCTATTATTTGCCAGCCGGTCTTATTATCACGTGGAATGAAATGCAAAAACTCTTTTTGGAGAGGTATTTCCCAGCTTCAATGGCTACTAACATCAGGAAAGAAATCTATAGCATTCAACAATCTCAAGGGAAAAATCTCTATGAGTATTGGGAGAGATTCAAACGGTTATTTGCTAGTTGCCCAAACCATCAAATCAGTGAGCAATTACTTCTACAATACTTCTATAAAGGATTACTCCCGATAGAGAGGAGTATGATCGATGCGGCCAGTGGAGAAGCTCTAATGGATAAAACACCGACAGTTGTAGGGATTTGATAGCCAATATGGCCGCAAACTCACAACAGCTTGGCAGTAGAGAAGTGGCACCGATTAAACAATCAAGTGAGGTAGGAGCAACCTCTCAAATTGAACTGCAATTAGCCGGTCTTACATCGCTTGTGCAACAAATGGCACTTGGGACAATGCAACAAGAAAAAGTGTGTGGGATTTGTTCTATTGTGGGACATCTTACTGACGCATGCCCGACACTACAAGAAGGAGCCTCAGAGCAAGCGAATGCCATTAGGAGATTTCCAATGCAACAGAGATAGAGATATTATTCATATGTTAACACATATAATCCTGGATTTAGAGATCATCCTAATCTCAGTTATGGAGGAAATCATTTCATAGCTCCACAATCACAATTTAATCATCCCCCAGGGTTCAATCAATAAATGCAACCACAACACCCTCAACCTCGTCAACAAACTCCGCCTCAAAGTTTAGAGATGTCTCTTGAAGATATGGTTAAGTCCTTGGCTTCTAGTACAATACAATCTCAACAAGAGACAAAGACCTCAATTAAGAATTTGGAGACACAAGTGAGCCAATTGGCCAATATAGTGGGTAAATTGGAGGCTCAAGGATTGGGAAAACTTCATTCTTAAGCAATCAACCCGAGAGAAAATGCTAGTGTCGTGACACTAAGAAGTGGAAAGAATTTGGAAGAGACGCCAAGGAAAATGAAAGATCAAGTTGATGAGTCAACACAAGAGAAGAACCTTGCATGTGAAAAAGATGAAGCTACAACTCCAACTGCGGGATCTAAGGTAGAATCTAAAAGTTCCATTCCTACTTATGTTCCCTCCCCTCCATTTCCTGGCAGGTTTGCAAAGTCCAAAAAAGTGGAACATTAGAAGGAAATCTTGGAAACTTTTCGCAAGGTTCAAATGAACTTACCACTTTTGGATGCAATTTATCAAGTGCCTCGTTATGAAAAGTTCCTCAAGGATTTGTGCACTAACAAGCATAAATTAAAAGGTAACAAAGTGGTAAGTGTAGGAGAAAATGTCTCAGCAGTTTTACAAAAGAAACTTCCACCAAAATGTAAGGACCTTGGAAGTTTTACCATCCATTGCATTATTGGTAACACTAGGTTTGAAAAGGCAATGCTAGATTTAGGAGCATTTATTAATGTCATGCCATATTCTATTTATGCTTCCTTAAATCTAGGAGCACTTAAAGAAACCGTTGTTATTATTCAACTTGCTGATAGATCTAATGCATTTCCAAAGGGTGTGTTGGATGATGTTTTGTTGCAGGTAAATCAATTGATTTTTTTAGTAGTTTTCTACGTTCTTGACATGCAAGATGAACCAACATCTTTATTGCAATCGTTGCTCTTGGGAAGACCATTTATGAGGACTGCACATACAAAGATAGATGTACATAATGGTACATTGACAATGGAGCTTGATGGTGAAATTATTTGCTTCAACATCTTTGAAGCAATGAGGTATCCTAGTGATGTTCATGCTTGTTTTTCAATTGATATAATAGATTCATTAGTACAAAAAAATTTTGAACTATCAAATGAAGATGCATTGGATACCACTTTGATTAAAAGCATTGATACTAACAATCTCACCGGGTTGAGCAAGAATTTACAAGTGTGCAATGATGATGTTGAAACCGTGGCGTCACTTGAGTCACTACCAAGTATTCCACTAAGGTATGATCTCTCCTATATTACTCTTCCGATATCTATAGAGAAACTTTTTATCTTCGGTGATACAGGCCCCCACTTTGGAGCTCAAACCTCTTCCCAAACATTTGAAGTATGTATATTTGGGAGAGGGGAAAACACTACCGGTGATCATAGCAAAGAATCTCACAACACTTCAAGAAGATAGGCTTATCCGTGTGCTCAAGGAACACAAAATAGCTATTGGTTGGACAATAGCCGATATCAAGGGGATAAGCCCTTCTATATGAATGCACCGGATATTGCTTGAAGATGGAGCAAAGCCATCAAGAGAAGCACAACATCGCTTGAATCCTCCCATGATGGAGGTGGTGAAGAAAGAAATTTTGAAATTGCTAGACGTTGGTGTCATCTTTCCCATCGCCGATAGCAAGTGGGTAAGCCCGGTCCAAGTTGTTCCAAAAAAGTCTGGAATCACGGTGGTGACGAATGAAGAGAATGAGCTTGTACCAACTCGAGTCCAAATGGGTTGGAGGGTTTGTATTGATTATAGAAAACTTAATTGTGCAAGCCAAAAAGATCACTTTCCCTTACCCTTTATTGATCAAATGTTGGAAAGATTAGCAGGCCATTCTCATTATTATTTTCTTGATGGTTATTCAGGTTATAACCAAATTGTGATTGCTTCGAAGGATCAAGAGAAAACAACATTCACTTACCCGTTTGGCACCTTTGCTTACCGGTGCATGCCCTTCGGCCTCTGCAATGCTCCCGTAACCTTTCAAAGATGCATAATAAGTATATTCTCCGATTATATTGAAAGCATCATTGAGGTCTTTATGGATGATTTTAGTGTTTATGGTAGTGCCTTTGATAGTTGCCTGCAAAATCTCACACTTATGCTTAAGAGATGTATGGATGCTAACCTAGTACTTAATTGAGGGAAAAATGCCATTTTATGGTTGATCAAGGCATATTGTTAGGCCATGTCATTGCTTCCAATGGGATAGAAGTTGATAAATCTAAAATTGATCTAATTCATTCTTTACTTCCTCCAACAAGTGTGAGGGAGATTCGTTCTTTTCTTGGACATGCAGGATTTTATCGAAGGTTTGTCAAGGATTTTCCAAATGTGCATAATTACTATACAGGCTGTTGCAAAAGGAGGTGCCATTTCACTTTGATGAAGATTGTAAAAAGGCATTCGAATGCTTGAAGGAACTTTTGACATCGACACCCATTATTCAACCACCAAATTGGAACAAGCCATTTGAGTTGATGTGTGATGCAAGTGACTTTGCATTGGGAGCCGCTTTAGGACAACGAGTTGGAAAGACACATCATGTTATATATTATGCATCAAGAACTTTGAATGATGCCCAACTCAATTACTCTACTACTGAAAAAGAGCTTTTAGCAGTCATTTTTTCCCTAGAGAAATTTCGTTCATATTTTATTGGCACTAAACTAACTGTCTTTTCTGATCATGTAGCTCTTAGGTACTTGCTTGCCAAGAAAGAGGTAAAACCAAGGCTCATTAGATGGATATTCCTTTTACAAGAGTTCGTCCTTAAGATTAAAGACAAAAAGGGGAGTGAAAGTTTTGTGGCTGACCACCTCAGTCGCCTTATCCATGAGAAAGAAACTCTCCCATTGCAAGAAAGCTTCCCCGATAAACAATTGCTTCTCGTCACGGACACATCTCCTTGGTTTGCGAATATAGTGAACTATTTAGTCACTAAGAAAACTCCAAGTGACTTGACCACCGCTCAAAGGCAAAAATCAAGGCGATGGCCAAGTATTTTGTGTGGGATGAGCCGTACTTATGGAAACACTGTCCAGATCAATTGATAAGAAGGTGCGTGCATGAAAATGAATTCCATGCAATATTTACCTTTTGTCACTCTTATGCATGTGGTGGACATTTTGGAGCAAAGAGGACTGCTCTCAAGGTGCCTGAAAGTGGATTCTATTGGTCCACTCTATTCAAAGATGCATTCCTCTTTTGCAAATCTTGTGATCGATGTCAAAGGATAGGTATGTTGGGAGCCCGAAATCAAATACCACAAACACCCATACTTTTTGTTGAAGTTTTTATGTATGAGATATTGATTTCATGGGACCTTTCCCTTTATCTTATGACAACCTTTACATCATTCTTTCAATTGATTATGTGTCAAAATGGGTGGAAGCAAGGGCCACTCGAACTAATGATTCTAAAGTGGTTGTAGATTTTGTTAAATCCAACATTTTTGCAAGGTTTGGAACACATTTTTGCAACAGTTCCTTTTGGACCCTATTGAAAAGATACAACATCACCCATAAAGTGGCTACACCTTACCATCCGCAAACTAGTGGGCAAGTCGAAGTGTCTAACCGAGAGGTCAAATCCATCCTCGAAAAAACTGTAAATACCAATAGAAAGGATTGGAGTCTCTGCCTCAATGATGCACTCTGGGTTTATAGGACAGCATACAAAACACCAATTGGTATGTCCCCTTAGTGGTTAGTTTATGTTAAGCCTTTTCATCTCCCGGTTGAACTCGAACACAAGGCATTTTGGGCAGTCAAGCAATGTAATATGAACTTATGTGTAGCGGGTGATCAAAGAAAGCTTCAACTCAATGAACTTGAGGAAATTCGAAATGACGCCTATGAAAGTTCAAGAATTTACAAGGAAAAAACTAAGGCGAATCATGATAAAATGATTTCAAGAAAGGCTTTTGTTATTGGACAAAAAGTTCGTCTTTTCCACTCGCTCCTCAAGTTATTTCCAGGTAAATTACGTTCTTGATGGATTGGCCCTTTTGTTGTTACTAATATCTTTCCTCATGGTGCAGTAGAATTCAAAATCCTTCAGACTGAGAAAGAGTTTAAGGTGAATGGGCATTAATTAAAGCCATATTTTGAACCCTTCGTATCACAAAACATGGAGGAAATGCGATTGGAGGATCCAATCGAAGAAGCATTCAAGAGGACACTTATTTTTGTTTTTGTGAATTTTTGTTGCCAACGGTCCACAAACATCATCACAGCCATCACCGTCAACACCACTAGGGAATATTTGAACCTCTTGCGCTTTCTATTTCTTTTGCTTTTACATTGAGGACAATGTGCAATTTAAGTTTGGGGGTGAGGTGGTATGTGCTAAATTTTTTGTGGAATTTTGTGGTTTGTACTAATTTTGTTTTCACTAAAAACTTAAAAATTCGGGTTAAACACTTGTTTTTATGCTTGTTTGTGTTGTTTGATAGTTTTGCCAATTGCATTTTGAGTATTGCATTGCATTGATTTATGAATTGGGAACATAAATGCTAAGTGTTGATTATTTTCATCCACTTATTCCATGATTAACTCTTTATTGAGCACTTGGGTCACGAGATTCATCACATGCACTTGTAGGTTGTTAACGAACTTAAATGACCGTGCTATTAGAAATTCTTCAATTACTCAACCAATGAAAGGATAAGTTTGGGAGGTGGTTGAAACGGTGAAAGAAATTATTTAGAATTGTATTACTTCTCGACTCAGTGATTGATTTTGTGGAATGTTCTTAGACTTCAAATAAAAGTTAGATTTTATTTTCCATCTATTGATATTTTAATTAAAAAAAATCTGTAGGAAAAAGTAGCCTACCCTAAGGAGTGTGAGTCAGCATTGAGTAATCCGGCCCTATGCATAACCAATGTGTAGGAGACGATCTATGAATGAAGAAGGCTACCCTTAGGGACCAAAGCGAGAACTACCTACATTGGAAAAATGACGAAAAATAAAAAGGATGCTATAAGCATCTAGGGGTGATTTTGTTGAAAAATTGATGGATTGTGAGTAACTTGCCTAACATGAGTTGTGGTCTAAGCACTCAAAATTTTTGGTGAATTAATACATGACTAGATGATCTATTTTTTCAGTTCCAACCAACCAAATTTGAGAGGGAAAGTTTGAGTGATTTGAGGGCAACCTTAAGTTTTTGATACCTTGGGTTAGAGTGAAAATATCAAGTTTGGGGGAGTGTGCATCCCACGAGTGAGAAAGGAAAGTTTGACCATTGAGGGTTGGGAAAATCACCAACTTGTGCATTGCGATGAATTGGAATGACCACACACACACACACAAGTCAAGAATGTGTAAGTTTAAAAGTGTTTGTTGTAACATTTTTGTAAACATTTCATAATTTGTTTGCATAATGTAAGAATTGTAGCAAAGTGGCAAAATATCGAACAATTGGAGTGTTTGTTATTATTATAGTATTATCGTTTGGTTTTAATTTGTGTGTTTGTATGCTTATTTGTATTGCTTTGTTCAAGGATTAACAAAGATTTAAGTTTGGGGGTGTGATAAATGCGAGTTTATTGCGCTTATTCTGACCATTAAACTTAGATATTTGCGAGTTTTATTAGCGATTTATTACTTAATTTTCTTATTTTTATTTTGTAGGTGAAAAGTCAAGATTAAACGATGAATTGAAGGAATTTATGCGAGAAACGAGCTAAAGATGAAGGCAAACGAAGATGACGACCAAAGACGCTGTCAAAAGAAGATTTAAAAAAAATTCAGCGAGCTGGGCGCCGCGGCGCCCAGTCCGAACAAAAACCAGAAATTGTGGTGCCCAGGCGCCACTCGGGCCGTTTTTAATTATTTTCAAGCTCCAAGGACCAATACTTCAATTTCCTTTAGGTTTTAGGTTAAAACATTCAATCAAACACAATATTTTCATTCTTGAACTTGAGGGGCAGCTGGTTCTTCTTCTTCTTATTCTTCTTCCTTTCACATTTATTTTCTAAGATATTTTGGGGAAGATTGGAACATGGAGATGGTGCATTAGCTTGGAGAAGATGACCCATTGATATTGAAGGATTTTCAACCGTTTCTCTCTTTATCAATAAGTTCTTCTTTTCACTTTCTCCATCAATGTTTTGTAAGAAATTGTTAATTATTTGTGGATATTTCATGGGTAACGAATTATATTTTGTGATTGGGGATTATTTCAAACCCGAGTTATGATTTTCAATTAATTTGTACTTTATAATTCTCTTGATTAATGTGTTTAATCCATCGTGTTAAATGTTTATTTTGTTTTTCTTAATTGTTTAGGTGTACAACTAAATGGTTAAGTTTTTTCGATAATGCTATTTTGGAATTTGTAGTACGTAATATCTATTGATTCTAAAACCTAGTAGCAATTACATTTCGATAGATTATGAAGAATTTTCAATTGAATGTATATGGATTAACACTTAAGTTTGTAAACCGAGCTTGCGAGTTTACCATTAATTCAATTCATCTTTTTTGTCGTAATGCATTTGTTAAATTAAATCTAGAGAGCTTGTTCCAGGTTGTTTAATGAATAGGGTTGAGTAAAGAGCTTGTTTTATTCGACTAACATGTAAGAAGAGATTGAGGTAATTGAGCTTATAATTATTCTTGAATTGTTGTTAATCTTGAGAACGAAAATCTATTGTTGTAATTGACGTGAAAATCGTTCTCGTAGTGACGAAATATCCTCCAATCACATTTTCTAGCATTCAATCAAGAACCACTTTGTTTATTTCAGATTTCAAGTCTTTTCTAATTTAAATTTCTCATCCTAATTGATGTGTTTCTGTGGTTATACGTGTATATCTCTTTTTGAAATTAGCTGCCCAAATTTTATTCCCCTGAGCACCCCCAATTGCAGCTACCAATTCTCTTGGTATTGATCCCTAAAGTTAACTCCACAAAAAAGGGCTTCAATGTTTTTGTCCTCTCCCCAGCTTTCTGTGCATGTATAATTACATATACAACCTAGCAGCCCACTTTTTTGTGATTTTTGGATTCCAAATTCAGCCCCAATTTTTGCCAAGCTGTCGTGTCCAAACCTAGCAGCCCACTTTTTTGTGATTTTTGGATTCCAAATTCAGCCCCAATTTTTGCCAAGCTGTCGTGTCCAATTGGCCATCCACTTGATTTGTTAATTCAAGTATGCATTTCAATTGCAATTGAATTCTAGCCCAAGTAAAAGTCAAGGCCCATTTATATCTTCTTCTTTTTTTTCTCTTTTTTTTTCAACTCCTTAATTATTTTAAAATCATACAATTCAATCCTTAATTTTTCAAAATGTAGAATTTGATTCCCACATTTTCCATCCAACAGCTAATTCAATCTTCATCATTTTCCAATTGCTCCTAAATGGGTCAAACACTGAAACAAACAAACATTAACTAAAATTCAATAAAATTCAATAATTTCACGATAGAAACGTTTAATAATGTGGTCTAAATAAGTGCGAACATTGCACTTATCAATAGGCTCAAGAAGGGTAAATTCCTTCATTAAGGTATTCATTGAAGCATTTTTTCCTTTTGCGATAAATTTTGTTTTGGTTATATCTCTACCAATTTAAGTCAATTTGAATTCCGTTTGTTAGAGGATATCTCTTAAGATTAGTAATTTCAATTGAGCCATTGTATCGATTTTTCCAATTTTCCAAAAAATCGTTTATTTTATTTTTATTTTTTTTTACCCCTAATCTATTGGAATAAATTCATACATAAAATATTATAAATTCATACATAAATTATTCAAATATATTAAATTAGAAGATAAAAAAAACAATGTTATTAAATTTGTAAATTTGATATCTTCAACTGAATCTCCAATTGAACATTCAAAAAGTCTTCAATTTCATTCTGAACAAATTGATTACTAGAGGAAGCAAACTCTGCAATAGCTTTCTACGCATCCTCTCTTGCTTTAAAAGCCCCAAAAGAGTTGATTGGGAAACCATCAACTTGTTCCTTTGCTTCATCCAGGAATAGTAAACTCCAGGCTTACAGTCGACAAAAACAGCATATATTTTCCCTCTTGAATGTGAAGATTGTGCAGTGCATAATGCTCGAAAATCATTTTCAACATCTCCCCTTTTGTCAAAAGACTTGTGGCAATTATTAGGAAACCTTTCAACGTGGGTCTTTTCTTCAACCCGTGTGTTATAGATCCTCGGGCGATGACCAACAAACACCACCCAAACTTAGAAGCTTCACTCCTGACGTAGGCCCAAAAAGGAGCAAATTCCTTCATTTAGGCATTCATTTAAGTATGTTCTTCTTTTTCGACAAATTTTGTTTTGATTATATCTCTATCAATTTAAGTCAGATTTAAATTCCATTTGTTAGAGGATATTCCTTAATATTAGAACTTTCAATTTTAGTCATTATATTGATTTTTTCCATTTTTAGAAAAAAAAAATCGTTTATATTATTTTTCTTTTTTTATCCCCAATTCATTGGAATAAATCCCTGAGGAAAATATTATAAATCCATACAGAAAATATTCAAACATATTTAATTTGAAGACAAAAAAATGTTATTAAAATTGTAAATTTGATATCTTCAACTGAATCTCCAATTGAAAATTCAAAAAATCTTCAATTTCATTCTAAATGAATTGATTGCTAAAGGAAGCAGACTTTGCAATAGCCTTCTTCGTATCCTCTCTTGTTTTTAAAGCTCGAAAAGAGTTGTTTCGAAACTTGTCGACCTGTTCCTTAGTTTCATACCAAGAATTGTACATTCCAAGCTTATGATCGACAAAAGCAGCATATATTTCCCCTCTCGAAAGTAAAGGCTGAGCAGTGCAAAATGCTCGAAAATCGTTTTCGGCATCTTCTCCCTTGTCATAAGACTTGCGGCAATTATTAGGAAACTCCTCCACCTAGGTCTTCACTTCACCTTATGTGTTGTAGATCCTTGCTGACAACAAACAAACACCACCCAAACACAGAAGCGTCGCTCATGACGTAGACCCGAAAAGGGCAAATTCTCCATTTAGGCATTCATTAAAGCCTTTTTTCCTTTTTGGAAAAATTTTGTTTTTGTTATATCTTTATCACTTTAATTCGGATTTGAATTCCATCTGTTGGAGAATAACCCTTAAGATTAGGATTTTCAATATTAGTCATTATATCGATTTTTTCATTTTTTTAAATCCCCAATCCATTGCAATAAATCCATACATAAAATATTCGGACATATCAAATTTGAAGACAAAAAACAATGTTATTATGTTTGTAAGTTTGATATTTTCAATTGAATCTCCAATTGAATATTTAGAAAGTCTTCAATTTCGTTCTTAACGAATTGATTGCTTGAGGAAGCAAACTCTGTAGCAGTCTCCTCCACATCCTCTCATTTTAAAAGCCCCAAAAGAGTTATTTGAGAACTCATTGACCTGTTCCTTTACTTCATACCAGGAATTGTAAATTCATGGCTTACAGTTGACAAAAACAGCATATATTTTCCCTCACGAAGGTGAAGGCTATGCAGTGTGAAATGTTTAAAAATTGTTTTCAGCATCTTCCCTCTATTCATAAGACTTGTGGCAATTATTCGGAAACCCTTCAACCTAGGTCTTTGGTTTACCCCAGGTGTCATAAATCCCCGGCCTACGACAAACAAACACAGAAGCATCACTCCTGACGTAGGTGCAAAATGGGCAAATTTCTTTGTTTAGTCATTCGTTTAAACGCTTTTTCCCTTTTTGGTAAATTTTATTTTGGTTATATTTATTTCTATCAATTTAAGTCAGATTTGAATTCCATTTCTTGGAGGATGACCCTTAAGATTAGTACTTTCAATTTTAGTCATTTATCTCGATCTTTTCTATTCTTGGAAAAAAAATCTTCTTTTATTTTTTTTCATTTTTTAATTCTCAGT